GCTCGTGGCCACCGCTCGCGGCCACCACGTGCCAGCGGGACAAGAAGTCACCGGCTCGGGCAGAGCCCAGCCCGGAGTGGAGCACTCCGGCGGCGTCTCGGTCGCCCGACTCGTTCCCGCAAAAAGAGACGCGATCCACCACCACCACTAACAACAACCAACAACATTCTTTGTTCTGCTCACATCCTCATGACTAACGCGGATATGGCCACTCGGCGCGTTGGGCCATTGGGGGGGGGGGGTCCGCGCTCAGCAACGTCGATAAAAAATCGACACCCAGCACCTTCGATTAGCACGGTTGGCTACGTACCGTGTGAAAGAAGTTCAACATACACACGTACATAGACTCACACAGAGACACATAGACTCACAGAGAGACACATAGACTCACACAGAGACCCATAGACTCACACAGAGACTCATAGACTCACACAGAGACTCATAGACCCACACAGAGACCCATAGACTCACACATAGACCCATAGACTCACACAGAGACCCATAGACTCACACAGAGACCCAAAGACTCACACAGAGACCCATATACTCGCACAGAGACCCACAGACTCAGAGACCCACAGACTCACACAGAGACCCATAGACTCACACAGAGACCCATAGACTCACACAGAGACCCATAGACTCACACAGAGACCCATAGACTCACACAGAGACCCAAAGACTCACACAGAGACCCATATACTCACACAGAGACCCATAGACTCACACAGAGACCCATAGACTCACACAGAGACCCATAGACTCACACAGAGACCCAAAGACTCACACAGAGACCCATATACTCGCACAGAGACCCACAGACTCAGAGACCCACAGACTCACACAGAGACCCATAGACTCACACAGAGACCCATAGACTCACACAGAGACCCATAGACTCACACAGAGACCCATAGACTCACACAGAGACCCAAAGACTCACACAGAGACCCATATACTCACACAGAGACCCATAGACTCACACAGAGACCCATAGACTCACACAGAGACCCATAGACTCACACAGAGACCCAAAGACTCACACAGAGACCCATATACTCGCACAGAGACCCACAGACTCAGAGACCCACAGACTCACACAGAGACCCATAGACTCACACAGAGACCCATACGGTTGTTTTCCTCCCCCCGCACCTCCGATTAGCACGGTTGGCTACGTACGGTGCGAAAGAAGTTCAAACACGCATACGTTGCAGTTGATATCGGCAATCGTCATGGCTGCACCCAAGTGCCCCGAAAGTGCCCATCATCATCGCGGGCGATAAAACGCGGGCCGTGTTTGTGCGTCGCTAAACTCGATTGGCGACTGCCGCGTTATTGAAACGAAGGAGGCGTTACAAGTTCGGGCTGAATCACCAAACCCTAAACGCGTGTAAAGGCTTGCGGGTGCTGGCCCCCTACTATTTGTGTACCTGCGTGCCTGGTGACACAATGTGGGTGGTGGTGAAGTGAGCGGAGTAGTTTTACCTGAATGTATTCAGGTGCCTGGAAGAGGAAGGGGGGTGCTGGATGAATGCCCCTTGCTCAATAGAGCACACACGGGCGTATTTGCATGCGAGCTCGTTACACAGACACACACGCACGCCCGTAGACAAACACACGTGGACTTGCACGCCCATCCATCTCCAACAGCCGTTGTCAAGTATTGGGGGGGGGGGGGGTGGTAGCATCTTGACGTGCGTAAAGTGTGAGCAGCTAGGAAGGACGCGTGAGCTACGATTGGTATACCGAGCGCTGTCACCTGCCTTCCTATACCCTCGTGCGGACTGCTGCTACTGCTGCCTCTACGTTAGCGTTCCCGAAGCCAAAACGTGAGGCTCGGCCACTGCCAGTCGCTTCGTTGGCGCGGTGGTTTGTGCTGCGACGGCGACGAAGCTCTCGTGAGTGCCGACACGGAAGACCGCGTCCACAAAAGGATCCGTTCAATTAGCCCCTCCCCACCCCCATCACCACCACCACACCAAACAAAGACAAAGATCCCCCGGAGAGCCTTGTCTGATTGTTGGGGCAAGTGCTGTTGGCGAGCGCCTACGAAGGCCGGAACGGTACGCGAGGGGGTGGGCGGGCCAGCACCACGCCCGGCCGTCTTTATCTCCCCAATGGCGATGTTTACACACGGCACCAGGTACTCATTTGAGGCTGAGTCGACCTAGGGGGATGCCCAGCACCGGTTTCAGATAATCGTCACTGGGTGTTGGCCGTGAGCGGGAGTCGAACCCGTGTCGCCGGGTTCGTAGAGCAGCGTAGCGCTTGCCGCTACGCTCCCTGCCACCCCCCTCCCCCTTCCCAGCGTCCCTGCCACCCTCCCTCCCTGTCCCAGCGCCCCGTTACGACGCCTCCCTTCGACCCACCACCACCTCCATCCTCGGGACGAGCCACCGACGCACACCGCACGCACCGCACCCGCAGCGCCGATACCCGCAGCGTTCACAACGCAGCGCGCCGCACGCGTGCGGGCACAGGGGACGGATTCGATTCTTGCGCGCCCGTCTGCCGCTGCTCCTTCGCCGTTGTTGATTGTAAAGGCGCATCAGCGAGTGATCACAGCGATTGCCCGCGAGGGCGGGCGGGAACGCGAGCGCCGATTTGAAAGGCCGTGGCCCAGGCGGTGGAGGAGGCGGAGTAGCCCGTGGCCCCGCTCGGCTCTTGCAAGCGCTGGGAGACCCGTGAGGGGGGCTTAACTCCTCGAAGGTCTCCCAGCCTCTCTCCCGCGCGCCTTCGGGGAAATCGTCGAAAGCGGCCGCGCCCACCGCTACCACCAGAAGCAGCGCTGAGTTAGTCGGCTTGTTTCTCTGTTTTTCGTGTTTAAAAACAAAAATGACCCCACCACAAGCAGCCGATGGAACTTTCGTCACGTCCTCGGCGGTACGCGGATTTCGTGTCGTCGTGCTCGCTCTCAGGCTAATCGGTTACAACGTCGCCAAGCGCTAAATGTTGACGCGAGGGGTCCGCAATGTATGGGTGAGTTTCGAATATATGTTTCTAGAACACATTGTCCTGCGGAGGGAGCTGGTAGGAACGTTGGGTTGCTCGGTCAAAGGCCAGGGTGAACGGCGGCGTGGTGTATTCCGCAAATATGCCCGACTGTGAGGGTGGGCACGAGCCGGCGTGAGTAGGTTAAACGTTGAGTTTTATAAGGGCACCACGGGGTGAGCAGCCCCTCAACCCCACCCCCTCCCACCCCCCACCCAGCCCCTCCCCACCCTCCCCACCCTCCCCACCCAGCCCCTCCCCACCCTCCCCTCCCCACCCAGCCCGTCTTTCCCCACACAGCCCCTCCCTGCACGACGGACACAATACTCCCCTGTGGGTTGGTGTAACCAGGAGGTTCCTACCAGTATATCTGTATTCCTGCATGTGTGCATTATGAAAGGTAATCATCATTTTAATCATAATAATATCCGCACCTGCGATTATCACGGTTGGCTACACACGGTGCGAAAGACGTTCAACGTACACATTAATAGCAGGCCACACGCCCTTTGGACGTGACACTCCCTCCAGCCAGCGACCAAATTTAGCTATTTTATGATACTATAGCATGCGATATGAGAGTGTTACAGCACATTCTGTGCCTTTGTGTGGGATCCACGGCCGAGCGGAGAGGGTGGCAGGGTGGCAGGCGTCGTGCCCGTCAGCCCCACTCTCCCAATGGCCCAATTGGATTACCCTGCACACGGGAGTGTTCGTCATTTGCAAGGCCCCTTCAGTGGGGCCCCCAACGTGAGCCCCCCCCCCCCCCCGACAAAACACAAATGGTGGAGACACCCCCCTCATGCCCATCATCGTGCTGCTGTCAAACCCCCAATGGTTTTAAACGCGTGGCGGCCCTCGCACGCTGACGATGTCTTATCGGCGAAAGTGGCAACCCCCTCTGAAAACGAGTGGAGGGCGCTGCTGTAGATGGTAATCGTCGCCTCCACGCTGCAACCAACTTGGCAGCAGCCATCTGAAGGAGAGTCGATTAGCTTGCGCGTTTGTTTTTGTATTTGTTTGCATATTTCTCCCGGCTCGTGCCCTCGCAGCGTGCTGTGTGCATTTGTATGTTGAATGAAAATATCGCTTTGGGGAAGAAAAAAAAAGAGATAACAGAGGAGCTTTAATGAGGCTTTCCCGTGTAAACAATAGGTGGAATAATAACGGCATTGTCTACACTGTATTGTTTTAGACATTGCGTCTGGGCTACAATCACTTCCTTACCGAGTAATTTAAATGCCCTTGTGTTCTGGCAACCTGAGATGTACTGCATGGTGGTGAGGGGAGGAGGTGCAGTATAAATAATAATAATAATTCTGTAATAAATTCTGCTGGTAAAGTTTGCAGACTTAATTTCAGCCAGAGCTGTCGGGGGGCTAAGTTATGAAAACTCTTCCTCTCTGCCAACGCGCGGTGGAGAATAATTCCATGATAATGTAATCCATGATGTTGTTGATGATGATGAGGATGTTGATGATGATGAGCGCCATTGAGCTTAGCAGGGACCTGATGCCACGTGCAACGCGCTCTGCCACTGCGGCATTTGCGGAATCTCATGACAAAAATAAATATGTATTTCAGCCTAAAATGCTGAAATGTTTTTTTCTCTCTCTCTCTCTGTCTCACTTCTCTTCTTATCAAATTAGTCTCCGTAGACGAGACCGAAAAACTGGTTTGGAGAGTTTTTCGTCGCACAGAAGGTTTACACATGCACGAAAAAAAAATCGTTCAAAGTGTCGGGGGCGGTGCAAAATGCATTCAACCTTTCCGCATACTCCTCCTCCTCCTACTGCTGCTGCCAGCCCAAGGAACCGGTCCGGGGGAGGGGTGGTGGTGCTGGGGCGTTACGTAATTGATAACTCGAATCGGTCGAGTTTCATTCCTCCGGTCGCGTCGACTCTGTGCAGAGAAGTGACGCACGCCCCCTCCGCCCACCCACCTGTGCCGTCACCCGCCGCGGTATGTCACATGACAGCGGCACGCACGCACACACACAGCGCGCGCACACACGCGCGCTGCGTGTGTCACGTTGGGTTTCCCCTGGCAACAGGCACACTTCCTCCTCGTCATTTTTTTTCTGCCTCCTCTCTCTCTCACTCCTCTCTCTCTCCTCTCTCTCTCCGCTGACCCGCGCCACTGCAGCGACGTTCCCCGCTTGCGCTCCCGCCCCTCGGAGCTCGGCACGTAACTTCATCAGGGGCAGGTGGCAGCGGCGCAGAAGGCAGCGGGAAACGACAGCGCCGCATCTCTCGAATAGCTGTCGGGGTTGGCTTTCTTCTTTTTCTTCTTCTTCTTCTTCAAAAGGGGGGCCAAAGAGAAGGAGGCGAAAGGGTCCCGATCCGTTTCGACGGAACAGCGACAGCCCTCAGCGTGGTTCTCAAAAGGTTCGTCGCGTGGTCCGCGTGTGACATTTACAGGTACTTTGCGTTGCTCTGGCTGGTTTGGTGTGGAAACTCTTGAGGTCTAAAAGTCATTGAATGAAAATGTAACTTCCTCCTCACTGCCCTACTTTGCCTGAGTGCTCCGTATCGATCGTGCCTTGTGTATTTTTTGTTAAACAAAAATCGTTCTCCTCTTGTTGGAGTTTTCCCCATTTCTCGAAGCGGTGCTGTCCTGTTCGTTGCTCAAGTTAAACGAAGTCATGTTTTGTTGTTTTGCAAAGCCCCATTTTACAAGTGTCGTGTGAACATTACGTTCTCACCCATTGAAAGTACATATTTGATTAACGTATCATCTGCCTCTTAATAGCTACCAAAAATACCGCGGCTCTGACTGGTTTTTGTTTATCCTCTTCACGGCTGACGACGGTTATCATCCCCGCGGCACTGGCTCACGTTCCTCCCATCAGCAGAACGTCTAACCCTCCTACGCCTCCTCCTCCTCCTCCTGGCACTTGAGTCGACACGGGGTTGGCCCTCAACACGAGGATGGAGGGCGCGCAAATACCCGGGAGCGCCTGCCCCTGTCACGAGCCGAACGAGCGCAACTTTGCCCGCGTTGCATGTACAGACAGATCAACGTTTCAGTTTTGTTTGCGCAGTCCCTACTTCTCCTTTTCTTCCCTCTCACGTCCCTCTGTCTCCACGCAGTGTTACCGCTCGTAGCCGGATGGCTCCCAATTCAGAACAAGACACTTTTATCGGCTTTCGCAACGACACCTGCTAGGGGAGAAACAGGAAAAGCAGCCCGGCCGATCAGCCGATGAAAGTCGGGAAAGTCCGTGAGTGGTGCCCTTCACGAGGACGCTGATGTGCGGGAGTAGCCTCGGAGACGAGCGTTCCGTGGGGCCACGCAAAAAGATCAGCCGTAAAAACAAAACAGCTGTTCCTCATCCTGAGCGATGGCACCACAGGCCCGGTGTGTTGGGATATGAAGGTGGTCAAGGCAAAGGCGTAGCCCTGTGATTAAAAACTATTAAACTATTTCTACGTTAGATTTTAAGTTTTCGTGACTGCAGGGATCCATACTCTTTGGTTCTTTCGGGAAAGTCACGTAGGCATAAAATTAAATAAAATAAATCACGACGTTTCGATTGCAACATAAAAAAATCAACATTAATAAAAAAAAAATTCTTGCTGTGGTTTTCCCACCTGATGATGATTGCTTGTGTTGCAATCGAAACGTCGTGATTTAATTTATTTTGTTTTATACCTACGTGACTTTACCAAAAGAACCAAAGAGTATTTCTATGTTACCAGGAAAGACCCACTGAGCTATACAGCTCTCATTCAGAAGCGACCTGGTCACAAATGATAACTCAACGAAGTGGCTTATCACGTGGAAATTTATAGCAGGAGACAAATGATGTTGATTCTAAACGTGGAGGGAAAAACCGGAGGACCACGTGAAAAATCCACGCGACCACGGGGAGAACGTGCAAACTCCAAATATACAGCAGCAGGCGTCAGGGTTAGGATCGAACCCACGACCTCCCGGATACTAGGCGAGGCTCTCACGCCACTTGGCGAGAGGGCCCCCATGAGAGGGGAGCTTTAAAGAAGGTAGTTTGACCGAATTTTGCTCACCGGGCGGACATCTTTGAAGAGATTTGAGTACCCATACTTTGCCCCACCACGCGAAAACACTTCCGATCGAATAACTAGGGTACCCATTTATACCGCTCGCTGGACAGAGTTGGCAGAGGGGGAGGATTTGATGACAAACGTGCCCCATTGTTCCAACTGCTGAGCCAGGAGATCTTGTCCTTACTCAGCAGAGAGGTGTCTGGCCTATGAACATCTGGCAGTTCACCAGCACTGAGTTTAGGCAACGCCTGATTCTGCTGATGAGACGCTGTCAGAACCGGTCCAGAGTTTTCCTTGTGCGTTGAACCAATGCTTCTAAGATTACGCACTCCCAGAAGGCCGCGGAGCTGATGGGATGTGTGTAAAAACGTAAGTTTACGTGTTTTTTTTAATGTGTAGGGACATAAATTGGAACGAGGCATGCTCTCTTGATTATTTATTGTGGATTGCGAGTCCAGGATGCTCACACTTACGGCACGGCAGCATTCCCACTCGTGGGGGATGCAATTGGGTGGTAAAACTTCCCGAAGTAATAATGAATACGTGTACGTGTGTTGAACTTCTTTTGCGCCGTACGCAGCCGACCGTGGTAATCGGAGGTATTGGGGTACGCGCGACAGCGCCGATCGCGACGCGCCACAGCCAAGCTGCTTTTCTCCAGAAAGATTTAATTTGTTTTGCCAAGGGTTTTCAAATCTGTCTTTACTGTGGAACCTTTGTACGAACACGACTTTATATTTAAATATATATACGTAAACTCAAACTGACCCCCCCCCCCTACTCGTGATACAGCGCACATCAAGTGCGGTAGTTGCGCTCCGACACGGCCCCACAGAGGGTTGCCACTTGTCCTGCCTTTCCTCGGATCATCTCTTCCTTTCTTTTTTTTATTTATACCGAACTCTACTGGGCAATCTGAAAAATTGCCCTGGGACATTAAAGGGTCCCTGTTTGTGTCAGCGGCGTGATAATGCGGTGGGCTATCCGGTGAAATATGTAAATATTACCAGGGCAATTAAAATCCACCGTTTTCGTCTATCGGGTAATATTAATGCACCAGTTCCAGTCGAATCGTTGCCGTGTAGTTCCCCACTCCCCTTCTGGTATCGTAAAATACTATTCTTCTTCTTCTTACAATGATGTGTCTCGTTTTTTTATTCCTGTACCTCAGAGTTGGCGAGCACAGTCACGCGCTTCCCAAACGATCCTCCACTCCAGCTACGGCCGGTGGCTTTAAATTCACCTTCTGCCCGACGGGCACGGCGCTGATTTCTAGTTAAAGTAGGAGAGGGCTGTTCTCAGCTGATATTTGTTTAAAGACGTCTCTCTGTTTCGTGCGTTACGCCATCGTTACTCTCGGCGGCGGGTCATGAGGAGATGCTGGGCCCCCACGCAGGGAGGGGCTTAGGCGTCAGTGGGCACACGGCGTCCTCAATCTTCACGGTTTCCATGCGATGTTCACGCTGCCTCGGAGACCCTGAGATGGAACAGCTTTCTGATCGAGCCGTCCCGACCCTTATCGCTATTGGGACAGATAACACGCGAAGCCGCACGTGTCTTGTAATCCAGCACCGTGTAGGCAAGCGAGGGTCGGTGGGTGGCACTCACAGATGTCGTGAAACTCCCTTACGACGGGTGTCAAGGTGGAGCCGTACCCTGGCCTGCCAGGAGAAGGCGGTACAGCAAAAATGTGGACTCCACCTGTTCTGTCTGGATGGAAGAGAGCGATTCTTCCTCTCGCACGTGAGATTTCACCGGGTGCGTCGGTTTCCTCTCACGCATGAACACTCAGTAATCGGCCGATACCACCACAATATGCAGAGGATCCCAGAACTTTGCACGTTTTTGGAGCCGCGTCATCGCGTGGCTGCCTTCAAGCTCGTCTGTGGTTCCTCCTCGCGCCTCTGATTCGTTCTCTCTCTACGAGAGCGGGGAGCGAATACGGGGGGGCAGGGGCTTTACATTGCCCTGGTCAAGGTCACCTGACATGTGGTGAGGTCAGCGCATTGCGTAATCGCTCTACTCACAGCGGTGGTGCCAACCCATCGAGAGCTTAAAGCAGAAATCGTTTTTCGAACGCATCACGTGACTACAAGCAGTGCACGCTTTGCAATCGCAGGTTGCGTGAAGCAAGTAATTTACTTGACTAATTACGATTATTAATTGTGATGTTCAAATTATAAGCTGTTTTGTGTTTATTATAATCTAATTGTAAGTTTTGTTTCACCCCATAGGGGCCGTCCATAAATGACGTCACGTTCCTAGGGGGGGGGGTCATACATTTGTGACGATGTGTGATGACGGGGGGGGGGGGGGGGGTTAGAGAAATGTGACGTCACGTAAAAATGCGCAACTTTAAATAAATATAGACAACACGTTCTACTTAATAAAATATAATTTTTGATAAATGTTTTCTCCTACAACATCAGAGTGCAGCGCCACATTAATACGCACTACAATGACAATAGTTTAAAGCGATTTGAAGCATGTTTTATTTCTGGGGGGGCAGAGCTTTGTGACGTCATATTTGAGGGGGGGGGTCTGACTTTTTGTGACGCCGTATGACGACGGGGGGGGGGGTCACAAATCGTCCAAAATCACGTGACGTCATTTATGGACGGCCCCATATTTGTTCATCAATACCGGGCCCCACCTTAACATTCTCGGTGGCCCTTAAATGGATCACTTCGTTTGTGACTTTGAGCGCCGCCACCGTGCTGGACTCGTCTCGTGTTGCTAAACGCTTCGTTGACTTGTGGGGCTTTTCCCAACCAAGAGCGTGTATTGCCCTGTCGGCCTCTTCTTACGTGATAGGGCACCCAGCGACTGAGCATTACATAAGCGGGGTGGGGGGGGGGGTGAGGGTTCATCTGTAACGGCAGCTACGTCCCGTCCCCCCCTCAAGCGACGGCCTTTCTCTCGGCGTGTAACCTTCGGTGCCATTTCTGACACTGGCAAACGGCCCGCGCGGTGATGCGTCCGCTGTACTTGAGCACGCGTTTGCCATTCAGCGAAGACGACTGCCCAGCTGCGTGTGAAACCACCCGCGCGGAGTACGTCGAACCTGCCGACACGAACCAACAAACGAGGGTCGGCCCACGCAAGCCAACCGCGTGCCACCGCAAAAGCCACCGCAACTTCACAATCCCCCCCCCCCCAAAAATCTAATTACGAAACAGCACGCGAAGGGGCAGCATGGGGTTGGAGGGCACGCGGATAAGGGGGCAGGAAAACTGACGCCCGATTTCAGGCTTGATTGCTCGCGCCCCCGGTCTGTCCTTCAACAGCCGGGTAATTAAACTCCTGCTGTCACAGTTCCGTGGCTGGGGCGAGAGCATCCCCTCTGTCTCTGTAAAGGTGCAATTCCCAAGCAGGAAAAACCAGCCCTGGTG